TTGTCATCAGGTATTGCAAATCCATGATTACAAATTCCGTGCTCACATTTTCTCAATTGTGGTCTTGACATAATTTTCCGAATTACTGGCGATTGCAGGCGTGTGTCGCTCTGACCAGTTCAAGTGCGCCAAGTCAGGCCTCTGCATAGACGAGGCGGAGCGGTGTGACGGGAGACTCGGAACTTTTGCTTTCGGAATACTCGGCACAGTGCGACGGAACTGTTTGTACGGCGACGACAGCGACGAGCGTGGCTGTGAGTTGATTGATGGGGCGAGCACCTACCGGTCAATTCTAATGTCATTTATTTCGAGTTGATATGAGGACCTGCTTCTGCTTTTAATAATTCATTTATTACTTGAATTCAAGTGAATTATTCTTCGTCCAATTATAACATTTTACTATCAATTTCCTTTCAATGTTTCGCAAAACTGCTATCGAGTTCAATCGCTTCTTTGGCCTAAATTTTCTTTACACAAAAAAGTTTTATCCCGATGATCCCATTGCATGTTATGGCTGGCTTTACTGAGCATTATCAAAGACTTTTTGTAAAAGGCTCAACAGACTTTACCTCCACCTCTCTGAAGCAGGAGTTTAAACGACACATGCTGTATATATCTCACATTCTTATCTTTCAACGTTCCTCGTTCTCTTCTTCGCCTCACGTGCAGGAGACTCGATCATCGTGCATGTAATATTAATGGGAAGGTGGAGGAGGTGCTTGCAGGGGGAGGGCTCACTGAGTAGGTTATCTGACTTCCTTTCATTAAAAAAAGATTTTTTTAAATTGAATTAGTCTGACACTTTCTTTCTGAAACAACAAAACAACTGAAAATATATATCCACTAGAACTTAGACTTACCGCTACTCACTCAGCTTGGATGATTTCCTATTAGTTAGCCTGACATTCACGGCTTCCTTGGTTCATCGCAGGCTGCACCGGAGACCACTTCGTGTGTGGCAACGGTAGATGCATCCACAAGCGCTGGGAATGCGACGGCGATAACAACTGCGGGGACTGGAGTGATGAGAAGCATTGTGAGTACACGGCTGATGTGATGAGTCAGTGAGTGTGTGTGTCATTACATCATTAGTCGGCGTAGGTATTAAATTAATATGATGACTAAGTGAGTAAATGAGTCTCCAATGACTTTACATTTCGTGTTATTATGCAAACCACGTCCCTATGGTGAGTAAGTGTTAATTAAAGTTTCATTTATTAAGTATAAATATTGTTCGTATCTTTAGTTTGTGTTTACATTTGGAAATGATCCTAATCTGCGCCAACGTGGAGTTGGTAACATGCAAATGTGATGAAGACGTGTGGTGTTGAGGATGCAAGTCCGCAATGTGAGGAGGGAAAACGTGCGCAATTTGAGGACGTGTGGTGTTTTTCTTTTTCGTGAGGCGTTTGTTGGCCAAACTTGTGCATGAAATTTTGACCAAATAACTTACTAGAGTTCTTGATCGTTATTCAGTTCATAAGCTAAAGTTCCTAAACCAAGTAGGGGCATGAACCAAGTAGAGGCATCCTGAATGAATACCGCCATGAACGTCGTTCTTAATACTGGAAAGTATTTAATACAAAATAATTTCTATATTTCCCCATAGTTACTGTGCCCCTTTTAACCTTCATAGACCTTCTGACAATGATCTACCGGCAACGGAATGTCACAATGAAGCATTAGTTGTTGCTGGTAGAGCATTGTAAGAATGTCAATGGTCTGAATTGTATTCATATATTCTCAATTATCGTATGAATATAATTAATTGAATTACTGGTGATTGCAGGCGTGTGTCGCACTGATCAGTTCAAATGCGCCTACACCGGACACTGCATAAACGAGACGTTGCGGTGCGACAGAGGCACACACGACTGCGGCGACTACGACTACAGCGACGAGCAGGGCTGCGATAACCGGCGACGTGAGTAACTCCACTGACATTCTGAATCACTAACTCCCCTCCCAACTCAACTCATATTTATACGTACTTCCATTCTTATCCTAATGTTGACCGCATATTTACACGAGGAAGTTCCATATGTATATTTGTTATACATATACAAGAAAAAAGAATATTTGTTTCGAAAATAATGCTAATGTTTCCACTGCAGACCGTGCTGGCGTGACCGTGACTTCGAAAGAATCTCTCTGGCGCGCAATTTACCTACTTTTATTCGTAGCAACCGCGCACAGTTTGCCCTAAGCCTCGAAGTGTCGCCGAATTTCTCCCCTCACAGAGTTTACCTAGCGATACGCTCGCCATTGTTCGATGTAAACAAACTCGGTCCTACCGTCTCGAAACTAAAACTTGTTAAACACACTAAATAGCTTCACCCAACATTCCTAACTTTCTCAACACTTATCCCCGAACTTTCCTTGAAATTCTTTTCATAACTTATTTATTAATTCGCTCTCAAACTAAGTTCTATACGTTTTTGCTTGCTGTTATCTGTGATCATAAACCGTAGGATATGCTGTTTTATCCTAAGACTGCTCCTCTGTTTGTGTGAGTGTAGTGAGTGTTGTTGAAGAATATTTCAGATAGTTTACATCTGTGATGTGGATGATTTGAACTTATTTGTGTTTGTTCTCCGACGGGCCATTTGTGTTAAATTTAATTATCACTCACAACCAGCATCTGTTGTGTGGCATGTTGTATTTCCTTTGCTCCATATTTATGTGGGTGTCGTCTGACTTGTATTTAAGTACTGTCGTCAGCTAATGTTAGATATCCCCTGTGTTCGGAAGTGGTATTTCGATTCGATGATGCACAACTTTAAATGATTGATTAGTTCTGACCATTCTATGGTCAGTAGTATCGACAACATTGACTCGAGTTTAAATAGATGTTAGGTCTTGCTTTTTTTACTTATTTGCCCTATTGTTCCGTTTTATTGTTATATCTGTTTAATAATTAAGCAAACAAAACGTAACGTCATAATTGAAGAGAAAAATCTCCTGCAGATGGTTTCGGCAATCTCTGTCATCGGCATGCGCCGACTCGACCGCTTCGTGCTTGCACATGCATGACTGCATTTTGATCGCTTGAATACAAATTAAGTTTTTAAATAGAATCATTTCCATGAATATTTTTCATGACAGTTGATTATGAACACAAGGAGGTCATATCACTAGTTTAATTAATACTGATCAACTGGCTGCTGCTGTTCACTGGCGTTCACAGTTATTGTCATTGAGATGATGGCTCAAATCAGGCTTTCGTTTCATCAGACTCAGTAGAAGTCTTGATGTTTTAAATGGATGGCTTGAAAATTGGAACGTGTAGCATAAACAAAAAATATTATAAACATGAATAAATACGGAAATAGTTTACAATAAAAGTGGGTTTAGAATGTATCTTGCTCTCACATCCTCGCTCTTGTGCCCTGAGCAATGCATTAAAGGCCAGCGGAGGTTACATACGCTCACATCAAGTATATCAAATATTCTAGTTTTCCATTACAGAGCAAGAGAAGTGAACTATTAATTCTATTCAAAACCTACATTGTATTATCATGATACTTGATATAGTTCCTCAGAAATAAATCGATTTTTCATAGTATGAGGATTTTCATAATACTGGACTCAGTCCATATAATGATAGTGTGTTTATCGTTGCGTTGTCATAATCGTAATCACTTTATACATATAAGGCCCAAAAATTTTCCCATTAGGTAACGCTTGTACCTCTGCATTAGCTTCCGAATTCATTTACACGTCAATTATGCTTTGGTTTTTAAGGGCGGCCCCTGAAATAGCTCTGGCCTATGAACGTCAGTGCGGTGGATATTCCCGCGTTTCCCCGGTGCCAACGCCACATTAACTGCAATTTTGCCCCCGGCAGCCGACGTCCCCCGCTTGACTGTCACGCCTGCCGTGACCTCCGCCAGCGTTTATTGGACGTGGCGGACTGAGCAATTTTTCAACGTAACTCTGGCAGTAAGTATCAACAAATAAGATTAGAATAATCAGTTTTGAAACTTATGATCGTTGTTTGGGACAGAAAATCATTCAAGTAATACTTAAAAAAATTCAGAATACTTGGATTATTAAAGTTTAGTCGATTCACCCATCCAGAAAATTACATCTTAAGCCACATATTGTTCAACTTATGATCAAAATCATATACCATGAATGTTTCGTCATATATCTCGTTTATCCTCCGATTTTCATAATATGTGATATACTACATGTAACTGCAAGGATATCGAGAACCGTTACATGTTTCAATATTCATAATTTATGTATACTTCACGCAGATGAAATCAAGAGAAGATTGTGCCCCAAAGAAACCCGACGCTGTTCAACATTTCCACAATTTTAGCACGGCTAAACTGGAGCTTACGCAGCTGCAGGCGTACACTGAGTACGAGGTGTGCGTGATCGCATACAACGAGGCAGGAGACAGCGAGAAGTGCCAAGTGTTCAAGACCCTACCTGACGAAGGTGAGTGAGACTGCCTCTCTTTACTGCTATAATTGAGACTCCCTAGCCAGTACCTCTAAATTCCTCACTCGCTGCCACAAATGGAGATGCCGCCGTTATCATTTACTGCATACAACTCTATTAAATATATTACATTCTCATTTTTCGGAGTATTTCCTTAAACAAAGCAAAGTGCAAGAGTGCGGTCAATACTTAAAATGCAGCCTCTTTTAATTCAAACATTTTGTGGTTATCATCAGCTCCTGGTTACGACAATGCCGGTAGATCATTGTTACCGGTGTATCATTAACCTTGAAGTGATTTACCGGCAACACAATACGACAATGCCGGTAGATCATTGTTGTCGTAGACTCGTAGGTACATTGATCTTCTTTCAATGATCTGCAGGCAACACAATACGACAATGTAGCTAGACTGGCCAATTCTTCAACCTTCAGCTACATTATTTCATTTATTTGCCCAGATCATAAAAAAAATTGATCAAATTATTATGAATGAGTGAATGAATTTTATGAAGTTTAAAATTCATATTACACGCAAGCGCGAACCCGATGGGAATACCAGAACCCAACATAGGCATGGAGGCAGGCATGGAAGTCAGAAATAGTATTTGCTTGCGCGACCAACGTTCGTTGTAGGGAAATGATAACTAATAACACTTGGTGAGATTAGCAGCTAGCACCAGTGACTACCAGCAAGCACCAGTGAGTACCAGCAAGCACCAGTGAGTACTAGCAATTTTTCAACGTAACTCTGGCAGTAAGTATCAACAAATAAGATTAGAATAATCAGTTTTGAAACTTATGATCGTTGTTTGGGACAGAAAATCATTCAAGTAATACTTAAAAAAATTCAGAATACTTGGATTATTAAAGTTTAGTCGATTCACCCATCCAGAAAATTACATCTTAAGCCACATATTGTTCAACTTATGATCAAAATCATATACCATGAATGTTTCGTCATATATCTCGTTTATCCTCCGATTTTCATAATATGTGATATACTACATGTAACTGCAAGGATATCGAAAACCGTTACATGTTTCAATATTCATAATTTATGTATACTTCACGCAGATGAAATCAAGAGAAGATTGTGCCCCAAAGAAACCCGACGCTGTTCAACATTTCCACAATTTTAGCACGGCTAAACTGGAGCTTACGCAGCTGCAGGCGTACACTGAGTACGAGGTGTGCGTGATCGCATACAACGAGGCAGGAGACAGCGAGAAGTGTCAAGTGTTCAAGACCCTACCTGACGAAGGTGAGTGAGACTGCCTCTCTTTACTGCTATAATTGAGACTCCCTAGCCAGTACCTCTAAATTCCTCACTCGCTGCCACAAATGGAGATGCCGCCGTTATCATTATCCAGCATACAACTCTATTAAATATATTACATTCTCATTTTTCGGAGTATTTCCTTAAACAAAGCAAAGTGCAAGAGTGCGGTCAATACTTAAAATGCAGCCTCTTTTAATTCAAACATTTTGTGGTTATCATCAGCTCCTGGACCTGTGGAGGAGTTGACCTCTTCCACGACGTCCACTTCCATCAGCCTGCGGTGGAGGAAACCTTGTCCTCCCATGGCCGCCATCAGCGGCTACCGCGTCAAGGTGGCTACAGTCACTCACTACATCCAAGCGTCGGGGTGCAGCGACAGCGCAGCCCACTTCTGCCACACCATCAAGGAACTACAACCTGAACGCACCTACAACATTGAGGTCAGGCTCAGTGTAGAGAACTGCGTACTAGGAATAAGGCGGCGGAGCATCATTGTGATGATGCGAGGGGGAAATGAGAGGGTCAACGAAAAATCCGGGAATTTTTTTAAATATGATCCGAAATTACCAAATCCAATAAGGGTTTTTATCACCATCATATTTCAATCGCTCAAAAAAGGATTTTGGTGTTTTTTTTCTGCCGATTGTTTTCGTAATTAGCTTGCTATATATGGAGGAAAGTTATTCATGCTCCTCCAGGGTACTAATATAATTTACAAATACAGTATGTGTCAATAGGAATCACGCAAACAAGCATATCGCCCCACAACGGCAACAATCTGTCTGCCCAAGTGACCGGTCAAGTTGCATTTATAATCCAGCACCGTTACCGAGATAATCAGCATGAATTAAACAGAACACGCATTACTTCCACCGCATGACTGTTTCGGAATTTTTAAAATACTTCTCAGAGCAGATGTGATCGTCCTTATTGATCAACAAAAAGGTATGAATTTTATAAGTTTAAAACACGATTTTTGAAGCTCTGCAAAGGGCATATCTCAATCGATGTAATCACTTCAATAATTTTAAAGCGAATAAAATAGCCCGAAAATTTAGCATTTCACAAATGAGCAGACGTTTCGGAAACCAGCTTTATCGTCAGTTCTAACTCAAGTTTTGCTCAAATTACCTTTCATTCGCTCGAAAAAATGTATTTTTAATCACAGTGCTCTGACAGTGTATTTGAAATCTGTGAATTATTTCTAGCAGTTTGAAGTGTTAAAATGATATAACGTACATAGTCTCTAAGTTCCTGAACTTGGTAACAAAGTACAACATTCATCCTAATTCAACGTCTAACAATTGTTTATTCTAATTTTCGGCTGAAATATGCAATTTATAATCGAATTTTAGTAAGTTTATGTCGGTTCAATTTAATTTTATATTCATCCGAAAATTTATAAGCTGGCATTCTCCAAGTTAGTCGTTTAAAAGTAATCTCGACATCGAGAACTTTTTCTTGAATATTTGGATCTTTATCACTAGCTTCGGACGGGGCATTAGCATCGTCACCTGTCCTCGAGGTTAAGTCGTACTTGGTTCCATAAATTAATTTTTTACGATTTTCACGAAATCTGAAAAAAACTTTTGGGTGGAATTGTGACTGTGAATTGTCCATAAGCGGCTCCTAAATAATCGCTACTTTCATTTATTCAGTCATTCGATTTTGTGTTTTTCTTTTATATTATCGAGACTTCGGAAGAACATCATATTCTCTCTGCAGCTTTGCTGATACGTTGTCAATCCTTTTACAATGGATGCAATACCAGTATAACTATAATCCTCAATTTCCTCGTTTCCTAAACTATATGAAACTCGGTCGAATAAATACACACTTCTGTTATTATTTATATTCATAAATCGTCCTTGGAAGTATAATTAATACCATTGTAAAGGACTTTCTTGTTGGCTAGTCCTTTGGGAACGTTTACCGAACTATTCATAGACGCGCCATCATAGCAGAATAAAAAACGAGTATTCCATGATGTACGGTTTCTAGAAAGGAAATGACAAATATACATAAGAAATATATACAAGACAAAATATACGCTAATTACATGAAATATATGAACCAAGATAAAGCAATAATTCAACAGGATAATAAATAATTCACGAAAACAAACGATAAATCGAACGAACCGAATAGCTTAGTTCCCCTGGTAGTGCAGGCATCCGTATATCAAGGGCTAACAATGAATGCTAATGACGCTAGTGAAATTAACTGCGTCGAGTAGGCTAATTCTATAGCTACAAGTTTCAGAAAAAGGGAAAATGGCGGCTACAACCATCCTCTTTAGTTCCTTCGATATAAAGACTACTTTCAGATGGTAGTGGAAACTGATATTTATTTTAAAATAATAATCTTGCTGTCATTAAGTTCACGATTTAAATCAGTTTTAATTTTGTAGCCCTTTATTACGATTTTCTATTTTTCAGATGATTTGAACAGTTCCGTTCCATTGTGTGCTCTCCATTTTTATAATTAATTTATCTGAAAATAATCATCATGTCCTGATCATAAGTGCATTCTAACTGTTATATCTTCATCTTGGCTATTCGAAATAATTCTATTTTGATCTGTTAACCGAATTAGGAGATTACGTATAAAGTTGAAGTTCATCTACGCACAGACAAATTGGTTGGCTTGAATAATGTATATTTTTATGTCGCGGGAGGACGTTAGGGAAAATGTATTTAAGTAATTGTAAACATAAATCATCATTACGATGTATCCTTTTATTATACGGCCGTGAACAAGTTTTAACAGACATTATATTTACTACATTCGTACGTACATGTTCTCCCTCACCTTCCGTGATTAAAGCGTCAAAGCCTAACAGGAAATGCAACTGTTGTGTTTGTTCATATAAACTTCTAATTAAGTATAGTGAGTAGCTGTAACACAAATTAGAGTATTTATATTTGCCTTGATATGAATCAATTCCTTGAGTATATTTTTAATATATATTTATACACTCCATCTCGTGGCATCCGGTCGGGATTGTTATAACGTTTATATCACCCAAAAATTTCTAATGAAATTTATTATTTGTGTCATCAATATTCGGAGTTGAATGATGTATATTAAGTCCACCAATGTCAGTCTATAAAATTCGTTTTATCAAATTTTATTGCAGTTTTAAAGTATGTATAAATGATACTAATTCTGCCGGAAATAACTTTGCATTGTGATTCCATTTTTGAACCCATATTGTTAATGTTTATCATCATGATCATTTAATAAATTTCGTATCATAAAGTTAATGTGATAATACTTGTATTTTATCACAGACTCCTGTGTTTCCAACATGCATGGAACCGAATAATTAATGATAGCTTGCAAAAAATCATTTACAGTAGAAGTTTTTTTTAAGGTATGACAATTATTCCTTATATGCTAATGAATGTCTTGAACCAGATTTCAAGTCCCTGTCCTTGGTTCTGCAGTTGGATCCGTAGAATACGAAGGACTTATGTACCGTTATGTACATAACGGTACATCCTGAACTTCAACAACTTCATGACAAAATTTTCCTTTCTGATTAATGAATCTGTAGTATTTATGCCTTCTTTTTTTTTAAACCTGACCTGAATTGAGCCTCACTTTGTGTCATAATTCGCAGGAAGTTTCTGACATCTTTTTATTCGCAGTTTCAGGGTTTTGTTTTGCTAGTTGCTCCCATAACCGAACAGCTCCGATTAAGAACATCATCACCCATTCATCAATCAATAATCTGAATGTCTACAATTGTATCTCATACCTTAGCATTCTCTCCGCCAAATTTTATGCCGTACGTTTTATCGTACTGAGATCCAGGTTTAATTGCATAACTATAAAATGCCTTAGCTACTGCACCAACAATATTTTTATAAAGTATAACCTGGAACAAATCTTTCTACATGATTGATTGCTTAAATCTAACCGATAAACTCTCACGAGAAGCAACTTTTATTGATCTGTGATTACCATTATTGTAATTACCTACTAAACCTAGCAAATTATCGTACCACTTTTTTATGTTTGCGTATGTGAAATATTTCCACATTTATGTCTTGGCTGTTTGGTTGAATCTCCTAACAAACTGAGCTTTAGTTCCATTATCAGAAGCAAACCTTGAATTTCATACTGCCGGAATTATTATTGTGTTGGATTGTCAATGAATTTTATTCCCTTGTCTGTTCGGATTTTAGAGGAATTTCGTTCAGTGAAGAGCTTTTGGAACCAGTCATCTTTCGGAACCATCTCTTTACCAGTCTTTTTCCTTACAAGAAATGCCCATGCATGTTTACCAAAGATATCGATCACAGATAAAGTTATCGATCAATGTAGTTTTTACTTTTATCTCAATACTTTTGCATGTCAACTAAATCTACCTGCCATCGAAAGCTGTCTTTTTGCCATATTTTCTTGTGGCGAGATTGTGTTTTATTGCTTAATGCAGAGTGTACGTTTCTTGTGATTTTAGCTACTTCGTGTTCGGTCAATTGGTTTGGCAGATTGGAGCAAGTGTGCTGGTGTGCGTAATTCCTATGCTACTTGAATGTTGTTAACCTTCCGATATTAATTACTTCCTTGAGTGATCGCCAGTGCATTTATTCATGCATGAAAGTAACAATGACCTTGTATCTAAATTATTCAGCTCAGTTGTGGTAAAACAAACGCCTCATAACTCGCAGGTACAAAGCTGCACCGCTGACGCCTACCGCGCATGTTCTGCTGCTACGGCGACAGCCGTCACAACAGAACCAGCAGGTCAGAGAGATCGCGCACTACACCTACAGTATCTCTACTTTTTATATTGGGGTGATTTCTTTTAATTTTTAAAATAATTCCAAATCATTTCCTGCATAAGTTTTTCCCCAGTCGTTAGATGCATTTTAGTATGTCTAAGTTTCTTGTAGATTTTTATTCGTTAAGAAATTCTCGATAATACTTACGATATAATATTATGATTAGAAAGGTTAGAACTATAAACAAATGAATAAAGGATCAACATCATATTGAGGTAACTTATCTTTTGTTGACTTAGTATAATCGCACTCTGATTAATCGGGCGTAGCCTGTATTTTTTAATGGGGTTAGCGCGGTTCGCAGGGTCCTACAGTTAGCACGCAGAACCGGGATGCTGATAAACGTAGCTTGGTGGGTTAACCCGACGTAGAAATTACCCCGACGATCTCGGTAACCTCGTTTGAGCAACTTATGACGCACCGCTGAAGAGTGAAATGCATCCAAGCATTATTACTGTTCTAATGAATAACCTTATGAATGAATAACTGGCAACATGCCATGGTTAATTTTGCAATTTCCTTGCGTGAGTAAAAGTCAGTCATGGAACCTCTTTACTACACTAATGGAAAATCATCGATAATTTCGTGTTGTCAAAAAATTAAGAAGTGTCATTCCACTTTCCGAGTACGACTATGATGGCGAATAGCAATTCGTTCCATTCTAAATTCATTTTTCACTATTACAGTATCCTGCACCGCAGAGGAGCTGCAGTGCGGCGCCCTTTGCCTCCCACTCTCCGCGCGGTGCAATGGCGCCTCAGAGCGCGACGACGGGGAGGACGAACTCAACTGCCCAGGTGGGGAATATTTACCCGAAACTCGTATGCACAAAACAAACTTTTGTCGCGCAAAATAGAATTAGTAGAACTCAGAGGATATGATTTGTAATGTAAAATGAAGACGCAAAAGATATCCTAGTTAAAATTTGTGTGATGTTCTGTAATTACAGCCTTTTATTATAACAATTTACTTAGAATACCTACTTATAGAGTAATTTTCTTGAAATGGCATAGCAAGAATTGGCATGATCAACAATTCGAATGTAAATTTATAGAAAACATTTTACCCTCTTTCACTTCACAGAAGGTTGTGTGTCAAACGAGTCCAATAACTTGTTATCCCCTTCCACTTCGCACGAAGCCGTGCAATAAAACAGTTTCGTGACTATTTATTATCATCCATTCCACAGGAAGCTGTGCATCAAATCAGTTTCATTGCGACGACGTTTGCTTCCCCCGCAAGATCTTATGCAACGGCCGGACTGAGTGCGACGACGGGACCGACGAGGCCAATTGTGCAGGTGGATAATGTTTATTCCTTCATTGTGCGTGCGTCAATAATGGAAAAAATAAACTCATATAACTTGTAGTTTATTCACCATTTCACAAAATCCTGAATTGTTATATTTTGTTAATTATGCATCAACCACGCTTCTGATAGACTTTCATCTGTTCCCAATGCTGCAAGCCAAAATACTGCGAATGGCGTCAATACTCCGTAACCACATAAACGGCATCAATGATAACGTTTTGCACCCATCGATGAATAATTCATTGAAGTGACAGAGACTGGATCGCAGCTAACTCAGTCTCATGAAATTCTAATTAATCTCCTCGGTTACCTAGGTATTTAGACTATATTATGAAGTGCAACTACTTAATCCTAAAATGGGAGCAAAAAATAGCAATTTAGAATAACGATGCTTTGTAACGACAATAATAGTAATAGCTATAGTTCGGAAAAAAAATACTAAAAAACAAACCTGATTATGTAATCGCGACAACTTCGAGGCAAAGGAACCCAATCTCCACCGCGTTTCCGTCGCTGGGGCAAGTCAGCCTGTACGCTGACCGGGGTTCTGGCGAATATTGCGGGTCAGGCTTAACTGCAGAGGCCGACTCTCCGCTCGTCTCTGCTCCCATCCAAGGAATTGAAGGCTAAAGTCTAGTTCCGTTTTTATATCCATGTCGACTCCCTCCATGTCTATGGTATCATGAGAGGAGGTTTCTACACTTTAACATTTTCTCGGCACCAAAACAAACAAAAACATCGTGATAACGTTCCCATATGTTCGTCATTGATCCTGTAGAAACTATCATTCATGCCAACTTAATTGATACTTCTGATGCGCATATATTATTGTTCTTCATGGGGTTCGCAAATGATACCATTGCTCTCGATACCGCATAAAGTCAAAGTCTTGTTAGAATAAGCGGTGCTTAAGAGGCTCAGCAAAATTCCTAGTTAGCATGTAACATTTCCTGCTGTAGGAGGGCCGAAGTCCCGCTGTGACGCCCCCTTGTGCGCGTGCTCCGTGCCCGGCATGGAACGCGTGTGTTTACCATGTCACGAGCTGCACAACGTAACGGACACGTGCCATAAATTGAGTGAGTGCAATTCGTACACAGAATTTTTGATTTGAAATATGCATGTTTTTCATAATGTGAAGTTTTTACAATGCCGAGCGGCGATATGTTTTGAACTTCAACAATTTTTATACGTGTATTGGAAACGATTGAGAATAACAGAAACAAGAATGTATTTGCCAAATGAAATAGCCAGGAAATGTTTTATCATGTCGCATATTCCCACGGTCCAATGTGTGTTCCTTCCTGAATATATTAATATATATGAATCCTCTATCAGATTCCCTTGTCCCTTCTGAAATCCTCTTAAAGTCCTAGAAATTTGACTTACCTGACATTATCATAGCATTTTAGTACATTATTTTTACCTTTTTAACAATTTTACTATGTTTTATGAGAAAATCATTTACGATATAATTAACCAGACGTACACAAAGTGGCATATTGCAGTAGCTTATGGTTGCGACGATTATTATATCCCTCTTAAAAATCAACTTATATTTTCCATGACATATTCCAACTTATAAATTAAATCATTAACTTCAGCAAATTTCCTCACGTCAGAGTCCGGGAAGCCTCTTTGCTCCGTGAGAAAGGCGGCAGGTGTGGACATCAATGTACTAGCCTGCGGAGGTCAAGGTCTGCAGCTGTGAGTTACCGTTACTTTGTTTAGGAGGTGGCTTAACATGAATTCTTCCTACAATAACGTAGCTTATAAAAATTTTGGGTTTGTTATTGATGTAAATAACAGGTCGTAAGCCTTAACAGGCAGACCACATAAGCATCACTTAATTCATACTAGCGCTCGATCTGTACCCAACTAACCTCGTGCCCCAACACAACGATCAGTCTTCACAGCTCTCTTGAATAGCTGCATGAAACTTGCCGGGCACCACCATACCTCTTATCAAATAGGCCTTCCGCATGCATGCATCAGCTGGCCGGCGTGTTCTTACATAAAATAAAAATAATTAATTTCGGAGGAAAAACAATCACTCAGTCAAAATACTTTTTCCAGTTTTAGCTGTCAGAATCTAAGCTTGGAACGTAAAATTGGGCTCCAAATCCAGCATCAATTCCGGCCATTAGCCGTTAGTACTAAATTATTTTTTATCGGTATTTTAAGTATGAGCACTCCGGCCAGCTGGTGCGGAAGGCCTATTTGATACGGCTTTTTCGGCGAAGGATTTATGGACCTACAGATTCTATGCTTTCCGTCCAGAGCTGATTGGTGTACAAAATTGTTGGTGCACAGCTGCGCTGACATTCCTGGCTGATTCAGAATTTTTATACTGATTTGTGCCACCGCTGCCAATTACCAGCTGACGTTATTGAGTTATCAAAGGTTACGCAACCGTAAGTCACAAATTTAGCTCCTAAATAAACCCTGTAGTCAATGCTCAGCCGCATCATGCAGCAAGTTTTTTCAGACACAGAACTCAGACTACGCTGGAACTCCGAAATTTAGACTAGTGACACACTGCTTAAAGATTAAATCGCCGTAAGTCTAAAACCAATAATTGAAGCATGCCCGCACATTAGCAGGCAGTTCCGCATCCGGCCTCAACTACTCCGGCCTAACCTCGTCTGGCTTAACCTATTCAATATGCACCGACTCACAACTTTCTTGCAGCCAATAACCGGCTCTACCTGCTCTCTTAACCGCTTCTCAAACTTCTTGCAGCCAATGAGGTTAAGTTTGGTCCGCACAGGTTGGTTTTGGGTTTCATGTTGGTGTGACGTTCATGAGCGTCACTCGCATAAATACGCTATCATTATAAACGTACTACACTGAATATTCATTTAAAACAGTAATTTATTCATTTGTGAATTTATTATGCATGGCCTCTATTCTCAAACGAGTCATTTCATCACCGGAACACTAACAATAATCTAACGTATCTTTAGCTAAGTCAGGGGATCAAGTCAGGAGCGGCTTGTTTTCAATCAAACACGCTTTCCTCCCCGTCAGGACCTGCATCCAACAGATGAAGGTACCTGTGCTGACGGTGGTCCTGGCTGAGTGCTGGGGCAGTGCAACCCTCGCTCTCAGGTGAGCTAGGAGGAGCTAGGACCTTTCAGAGCTAGGACCTTTTCAGAGGAAATGAGAGACTAATCGTGAATTTCTTCGTCAGGTATTGGCCTTCTGGAGTCATTAATATTATGATTTTGTTTCCGAAACCGATCTATACTCGTATGAACAAAATCAAATTATAACAAATATTTTAACGATTTGATCACTTGTTTGAAAATTAGTACACTAGGCCCAAGACCAGAGTAAGTGCAACAGTTAGGCCGCTAGAGAATGAGCAAGCACTAGACAGAATACACCAGGGCATGTGCTAATTGTTTCGAGCGCAGTCTGGAGTAGTGTTTAGTGGCTCCCGTTTCTAATAAGACAAAGAGAATGGATGTCAAGTCCCTCCGGAGCATTCGGGAATTATGCAACATATTTAGTACCAAAACCTGCTAGTGTCCAATTAGTTCTGCTTACTAAGGTTGCAAGCAGCGGAAGTTCCCTGGGGATCATTGATTCTGATTACTCCAAGTTAACTTAAGTCACTGTTTCTGAATTCTCATCACCGTGTCATGATCTCGCTGCAGGATGGGGCTATGGACGAATGGGCATCTCTGTCGTCACATTACGGAATACTGTATCTGCAATCTATCGTTGAGCTGTGTGCATAGCAAGTGTTTCGAGGAATGAGGTTAATGCATTGTGTCCTGTGATGCTAAAAACGAGTTTTATAAGATTGTGAGTGTTGTGAATTATGATGCGTTCTCACAATCTGTTGTTTAATATTGCGTCTTTGGCCTGCAGTGAACGTTTAACTCTTTAGCGTCTAGCTGTACATATCTGCCGCCTCTCGCAAGGGAAATTTTTGTTTACGTATGAAGCCCATTCCTTCAAGAGGATGTCCAGTCGGTGGTTTTTGTCGCCTATCATGTTTATAAATTTGTGAATAAATTTTAGCAATGTGGTTTGGCTGTGATGAAGTTTTTTTGCACTCGCAAGATAGCTGGTCGCTATAGAGTTAATTAATAGTAAATTAGTCTGCAGTTTTGGACTTGATAGTGTGTTAGTTTTTGTACGGAAGACGTCCTTAGTGCATCTGGGAAATATCCAGCGGAAAGTAAGGGATTGAATATATATAGTAGTTAATATATCATATTTCTGGAAAAAGTTGGGTGGATGGATGGTGATGGTTTGGGGCCTGGTGATTTTTGAATGAATGTTTGCAGCATGCGATGAGGTCTCCTATATTTTATAGATGGGAGGTGAACTGGATGGAGTCAGGTGAGGTTACCGTGATCGTATGGGTGTAGGAGATGTACAGTATGTTATTCCGCGTGTAGTTCCGTGTGGTGTTAAATTGTTTAGTGCTGAAGTTTTCGTTGTCCGTATCTTTCTTCATGATTATGTCCTATCAATGTTTGCATAATATGGGTTCTGTTTGTTCTAGTGAGTCGTGTTATATATTGTTGTTTTTGCGGCGTGGGATGGTTTGTTTTATGTAGGAATCTAGCTGGTGCATTTTGGGAAAATTAGAGTTGCAAGGGGTCTTTGAATGCTATTAATGGTGCTTGGATGTGGATGTGTTGAAGAGAGACAAGATAATGTGCTTGTATAATTCGGGTCGTGTTTTTGGGTGCGCTTAATGCGATTTATGTGGTATTCTGTTCGCACTGTGTCCAGTTTTCTCGATTTGCTCGATGTCTCGATTTGCTCGTGTAGGGCCGGATTGTGTGATAATTGGGTGCCGTAATCATGTTTGTTTGTATACGGTACAGTTTTCACTATGAAACTATCTGCGAGGGCTAATTAAAAATATTTGCTTGAAGTTTGCAAGTACGGCAGTTTTTATGGAATGTGATCTCAGTGTACTGGTTGTATGTGTAGGTTGAGAAGGGCCTTCCTGCCGTGATTGATTCGGTAAGATATGTGTTGTTGTTGTGAGTGATTAGGGTTTATAAGAAGAGGCAGATCTGGGTATTTAGTGTTGGGCTATTAGTTTTAGGGTATATTTGTCTACTAGAGGAGAGCAGTTCCTTGTCTACTAGAGGAGCAGTTTAATTGTCTACTAGAGTAGCTGTTACTTCTCTATTAGAGGAGCAGTTCCTTGTCTACTAAGGGAGTGGTTTCTTGTGTACTAGAGGAGCAGTTTCTTGTCTACTACCCAGTTAAAATTTAGGGCAGGGAATACAGCAGGCCGTCGCCGGCTGCAGAGCCGGCGTAGAGACGCGACAGTCTTGTGTACTAGAGGAGCAGTTTCTTGTCTACTAGAGGAGCAGTTCCTTGTCTATTAGAGGAGCAGTTGATCGTCTACTAGACGAGCAGTTCCTTGTCTTCTAGAAGTGCAGTTTCTTGTCTACTAGAGAAAGAGTTTCTTGTCTACTAGAGGAGCAGGTCCTTGAATACTTGAAGGGCAGTTTAATAGTCTACTAGAGGAGCAGTTCCTTGGTGTTGTGACTAGCTTTTAAGTCTGCGACAAGGTAAATAGGATAGAGCCTGATAAAGAGCTGTGCGTGGTGAGGTGTATATTGTTATGTTTTCGTGATTGGCCCATGCTGAGTTTCAATTGTAATTGCAAGCATGTCTGTGGAAATTATTATTGAGTATTGGATCATATATATAGAATGTAGTCACTAAACTAGAACTAGTGTGTTATTCTTGTTGCAGCTGTGCGCATTGTAATTGAATGTTATTATTCGGCTGTTGTTATCTATATAAGAGTGATCGTTGACGAGAATGAAGTCTGGGTTTATATGGGTGTTGGTATTTACGACAGTAAATCTGTGGTTGAACCAGCTACGGATACGGACCGACAGTATGTCTGTGGTTGAACCAGCTTTTAGTGCAGAGTGGGAGGTCATTGTGGAAGAGGATGCCTGGATATGAATTGTTTCGTCCTTTATGGGGTCGTTGTCAAATGCTTGTCAAGGCATACGAAAGTATGCTTTTCATGCATACATTTTCGTATGTCATGCAGACGAAAGTGTCAAGGTACCAATGTTTATTATAAGGGGTGGTTTGTGTTCAATTTATTCCTTCTCTGGTAGTCGAGTACTTCTGAAGAGTCTACCGCCTTTTGTCGAGAGCTTCAGTCCGTATTCCTCCTTTTTCAGTTCGTCGGTTCACCTGACGTTGTATGAGGCTACTGATACTTGGGTGGGTCTTTATTCCCTTGGAATAGTTTAGTGGATATTAATTCGTAAGTCCGGGTCGAGAGACGAATATTCCGGTCGACCCATTTTATGGTCATTGGTAAAATTGTTAATTAGGGTCTCTAAAGATGACAGTGTATCTTTTGACCTTAAGCGTCACTATAGCAGAGAGTTGAATCACAGGCCAGGAGAAACATTCGCATATATTTACTATTGCATTAAGCACAATTAAAACAGTTTCAGGCGTACAAGGTTTGTGACGGAGACGAACACTTGAACAAGTAACGTCGGAGAAGCAAAGGCTCTAGCTAAGATACGCTGTGCAGTGCAGGGCTCCTATACTGATTCGCTGTCCAATGACAGGAGCTTGCAACGTGTCGGATAATTTTACTGGCGGATTTGTGGCCGGTCTCTAAATTCAACGACCAAGTAATATCTCCCAAACTAATGAACGCAGCTCGATGAAACTTGGTACGCGTATTTATAGGACCTAACAGTGATAACAGTAGCTCGTGAAAAATTTTTCAATTTCACCTTCATTCATGAGTTATACGGTGAAACTGTATGACTTTTCCAGCATGTATGCCTCTATGGACTGCTTGACAGCAGTTCAAAAAGAATGATGGATTCAAGAAATAATAACATGATCAATTACTCGCAGCATTCGTGATTATTAGGAGGTTTTACTTAGGTATCAACCCTATGATGCACAAACTATTGACGAAGCTTGGATCAAAACTTATGAATTCATGTTTTGAATTTAGAGAGAAAATTCGGCAGACTTTTCACTTCTTAATTAATGGCATTCTGGACGAACTTCTCATGTTGCGTAAAGAAAATAGATGAGCGATGGCCCACGACTGAATACGACATGTCTCGGCCACCGCACTGACGATAAAAGTGCCATTTACAAAATAATGATTGCAGGTGCCATAGCGACGGACTCTGGGGGTTGTACGGGGAAGCTGCAGTCAACGCAACCCAGCCACGCATGCCGTTCGTCTGCCAGCCCCGACACCTCAACCCTCTAAGTGACTGTGCCTGAATAGCTTGCTATTTCGTTGTGTTCATTGAGAGCCCTATTTGATAAGACCTCCAACCGGTCATCCGGTTCACTAGTAAAGTTGCTGCCCGAAGCGTTACGCTACTTTTTAGCAAGTTCGAATTCTTGACCTTGATCAGAGACGGCTAATCAGTAGAAGGGATTCGTTAAAAAAATGAATCATTGTTGATAACGTTACTAAAAGTATAAATAATCATGGCACAAATAAGATATCATCTAATTTGCTAGGAAAATTCTATCCCGAAGCAGTCCCAATTTACATCCAACAAATCACGTCCAGCACCCAGATCTATCGTGTAAAAAGCTCCAGGTGAGGCGTCGACTTGCAGTCTAGCGATGGTGCTGGTTGTATATTGTGTCTGACGTACAGATATTTGGTAGCCCCGTCACCTGGCACGGTTTCTACGTGTACTATTATCTGCAGTACCCTTAATTCCAAGGCTTCGTTCGGCACTGATCCGGTTACTTCCTTTACCTGATACGTTGAAGTAACGAACGCTTTACCTGATGCAGGCTTTACCTGAAACGTTGTGACACGGCCTGAGGTTTGTCGCGGTCTAACTCCTTTACCTTGTAGCGCGGTCGGCAGGCATATAAAGGGGGAGTCTACCTTCTTGCATTTTGTTTCTTTTCTCATTCAGTAGCAATGAAAAAAATTCGCTGAGTGCAGCAAACCGTAGGTATGTACGAGCTTTAGTTTTTTTGCGTGATGTAGTTTCTGACATGGAAAAATAAACATTTCCTCACAAACGGTATAAACATATTTTTGAAAAATTGGATGTATATGTTGTGCCGAAATCGCGGAATTGCTGATTCTATGGAATCGTCAGCCAGTTTGCCGAATCTGTAAAATCAGCATTTCGTTGCTGATTCAGAAAATAGGACGTTAAAGTTAGAGTTAGGTCATAAATCGACAGTTAGAGTTAGAAAAGGTGAGGTAAAGTTCGGCCAAATTCCTCTATATTCAAATATTAAAAAAAGAACTTGGCTTGCTGACCTAACAACAGATTTCTATAATATAGAAATGTAGATTATACAGATTCGGCAAACTGGCTGCCGATTCCATAGAATCGGCAATTCCGCGATCTCGGTACGACATATGTAAAGATTTGCTATTCGCGATAAACTGGACAACAATAAGTTAGCCGGCGCTTGATGGTATCCCCAATACGAGTAATAGGCGCTGGGAAAGCCGAAGATACATTACCAAGCCATTTTTTGCCTTGACTACTTTTTGGAGCCGCTTCAGTTACTTGTCTCTTCTGAACAGTTGAATTTTCCAGTTAACACCATCTTGAAATATTATCTTCTAGTTCCATTTATGAGCTACAACATTGAGAACATATTATTCGCTTAGTAAAGCCCTATTTCTGTTTAATTTATGGTTTGAATTATTTGTTTGAAAAAAAAACAAAAGGAATATGTGGAGAGGGAGTGCATAAAATGAAAAAAATATACAAAAAATGTATATATATTGGATATATATTGAAATTATATATTCACTATATAATTCACACACACTAAATTATATATTCACTAACTATATATTGAAAGAAGTGTAATAATTCGATCCTCTCGACACTTTATCCGGCAAAATTCCTAATAAACTTTGATGTACCGTTCTACAGCCAAACTTTTTCAGACTTTACGCAAGCTTCAACGTTCTAACCGGAGCAACCCTAATAAACCATTGCTTGATCATGGCTGTCGATAGTATTTTCATTTGTCCTGCGCAGTTTGTGGACGGAAGCCGCGCTACTACAGAAAAGGGAGAAAATTACCGCTGGGCGATTTTCGCGCCCGGCGCAACCTCTTCCCGTGGCTGCTGGGGCTCAAGAAGCGGGAGCGCTACGAGTGCAGCGCCACTCTTATCAGCGACTCGTGGCTGCTGACGGCAGCGCACTGCGTCGCCCGGTACTCTCACTTATTTTACTGATTATTAAAGCATTTTAATATGAAAGTCCTGTGGCAGCATCATAAGTCGTCTTCCCGGGACTCGGAGTCATCAGATATAATAAAATTTTGAGCATAACAAGTTTCTATCAATTTAATATGTGGCAAAGGTTTTCCGTTGTCTGTATTGGGTTTATATCTAAGTAATAATGTCACTCGTTTGCTTGAATCGCAAATTTACTAAGAACTTAAAAGCAAAGAAAACAGCGCAAAAATTCATAGTATCTTTGAAGAAAACGTTTCGGGGACCAGCTACCTTGTCAGTTCGAAAATTCTAGAACACGCAAGCCCAGCGCCCGGAGCCCGCACAGCCGAATGAGGGGGGGCGCGACAGTAAGTTATAAATTTATATAAATATAGTTGTGCACGATGTGCATCTGTCGTCGTGTATGTGCAGACGTCGTAGACTGCACATCTGTGACGACGACGTCCTGCACATCTGTGTATGTGCAGACGTCGGGATGACGTCTCGCAATCTTTATTCTAGGGTCGCAGAACATAGGGGCAGGAGTTGTATAACTGGTAACATACTGTCGCGCCCCCCTCATTCGGCTGTGCGGGCTCACGCCGAGAAGTGCGATGTTCCAGTTTCTGACAGTGACTTTAAAGTTTTAGCTTCCAGTTCCGGTGTTTCTGATTTGCGCATTTTAGAATCATTGTATATTTTTAAACAGAGGCCTAGTTTGAATTTAGCTTTTAGCTCCTACTCGCTTGAGATTGTAAATAGGTAGGTTTTACAGCTTAGGTTTTTTGCTGTTATCTTGACTGTACTAATTACTGATTTATCTGTGTTCTAGAATTTTCGAACTAACGATGGAGCTGGACTCTGAAACGTTTTCTTTAAAGATACTATAAATTTTTGTGGTGCTTTCTTTGCTTCTAAGTCTTTAGGGTTTATATCTAGCACTGGCATTCAATTAATAATCATCATCATCTATTTGAGTTGTCTAACTGCTGGTGTAGAATTATTAGCAAATATACATGTAGATTGAAACTAGGCGAATTACACTATAAGTTCTATTTACCTGCGGTGCACGCAATTGTGTACGGGGCAGTTTTACCGATAGTAGGGTACAGTTCGTCAGCCGGAGATTACCGCTCTCGATATGTTATAAATCTTTCACCGAATTATCATTCGGAGCTCAAAACATACTTATGATTGTAGATAATTATGCTTTATTTTTACACCTCTTCATCTTAAAATTTCACTTTTCTGCATGTGTTAAAAGTATTTTGAATTTAATTTCTTCTCATCAGTTGCGCATGTGCCTCAATATTTAAATATTGATATCAGTTTAAATAGTAATTTTATTCATCAACTGTGTCCTGCAGTTCGCTGGAGAGCCAAAACGAGACAATGGACCCTCGTGACCTGAAGGTGCAGCTCACACCAGATCCACGCGACGACAGATACGTAAGATTTTATTCTCCTTTCATGACTTATCATCTCAAAAAATATGATTGTTAGTGGTAGTTAGGTATCTTTCTTTGGTGTATAAAACACATTAGCTTATCCGTGACTTTTCATTGAATTTCACGTTGACACTTGTGCTCTCGTTTACGCAACTATGTGTTCTCATCAGGGTTGCAAAAACCCAGGGTTTTTTTTAAATTGCCAACATACCTGGGTATTAATTAGAAACCCGCAGTTTTATTGAAAAAAACGGGCAAAATGAGTCAAGTGTTTTTTTTTCACTTTTTTAATTGATACCTAGGTACCTAGCTCAAAGTCTTTTCCAGTTATGCCGATTATTACAAATTTTATGCTGGAGAGTATTGAGTATCAACCTTCATTACATTTGCCATAGCTTTCAATCAAATAATTGTAAATTTTCAAACAGTGAGCCAGTGATGCACTATTAACTTGTTGCATCACTATATAAGCAGTGTTGTATCACAGCAGTGACCCAGCTGTACCTGACTACAAATCGATGCAAAAAAATATTTATTGCATCAATTAACCCACTTCTGCTGTTTTCTTGTGTCTCAAAACTAATATTTTACAAGCCCCTAAAAATGTACTGTTTTTTACCATAAATTTGAAAAAATTGGACTAAGCACTTTGAATTTAAGGTAGACCTTGAGGCTTCTACCATGGTACACGCTCAGTAATTTCCAGGCTTGTGTATTACTACTACTAATAAAGGCTGCTAAGTAGGAACCTAAGTTCTGCAAAATTAAAAAACCCCACATTTTCTTAGCAAAACCTAGTGTGCAGAAAAAAACCCTGTAGCCAAAAAGAGGAACGAAAAAAGTCTATTGACTTAGTTTCCCTCATTTCACACACTTGGCTGTGAGCTTTTATTAATTAATTTCGTATGACTTGTTTTATGGACATTGAATTTGGTTAAAAAAATCAAATATGAAGTTATAGTCTCAAAAAGGCATGGTGTATGTGAATATCATTGAGAAATGAATTGTCTTTATGACGAATGTTGGTGTTTTTCTATTTCAAATTGAGAAGCTGCACTATTTAAATTAAGTTAACACCAATGTTGAAGTTTATATTAAACCCAAAGTTAAGGTAGGGTTAACATAAAATAGTTATAAACCCTTTGTGAACTTCATTTCTCTTGCCATTCTGTGACTAAAATTTCTAAGAATTAAGGCAAAATCGCAAAATGGGCTTTGATAAAAAGGTGATTTCTGGTGGTCACTTTTTGATATCATGTCATTGTGATAAGTCCTAAATGACTGTAGAGAATCATTTAGGGGACCTAGTATCATTTAAAAAGTTAGTAATGAGTGGGATTATCTATGACTCAAATAAATGTAGGCTTTTTATAGAAGCTTGTAGTATACATATGGGATGACAGTTAATGTTCAAGAAAACTCAGTAGATACTTCCTTGGTAGCTTCTATCCAGTAATATTGTTTTATAACTTTTAAACCATAGAACCAATTTGATGCATTCTTAAGTTTTCTATAAAACCCACCTTTCACTCTACGGTTTTTTACGTGAAGAAGCCCAGCCCGGCGGGTAGGCGGGCCGGGCAGACGCCCAGTGTAACCCTGGTTCTCGTAGCATCGCACGGTAACGCAGATGAGAAGCACTAACCAAATCTTGATATTTGTGCCCATAAATAGGTGACGAAAATAATACTTAATCCTGACTACAAGCCTGGCAATATTCCGCTCAACGACCTCGCTCTCGTGATGCTGGAGGAACCAATGATCTTCAGCGAGACAATGTACCCCGCTTGCATAGACCTCTACGGGGAAGGCTACCTAAGCTCCTCCACAGCCCGGGTTTGTACAGCTCATTGGTCGTGGCTCTGAAATAAATTTGTTTTTAACCATGTAACAATGAATTTGAAAGCAAAGAAGATAGCACAGACATTCACTATCTCTTTGAACAGGAAAACTTTTCGGAGTCCAGCTCCATCGTCAGTTCGACAATCTAGAAAGTAAATACAATAATTTTATAATCCAAAATTACAATTCAGTCATAAAAACCTAAAATTGACAAATAAAATATAAATCAACCTAAAATAACACAGCAAGAATGGCCTATTTGCTAACAATCTCAAGGGGATGGGAAGAGGATGGGAAGGGGATGGGAATGGGATGGGAAGGGATGGAAATTGAATTCGAAAATTTTATATGACCACGTAATGTTCTATTGAAATTTTTTTCGATACGAGTGAACGTTTCGCATTAGTTTTGATTTGATTTTTGAGCGCTGAATTTTTCGTTAAAATAAATTTGTTTGTAGTGTTTTTGGTGTCGTATTGAGGCTCCCCAATATGGCGTTAATTCATCTAGCGAGCTGGCTTACATCAAAGTGACCATTTTACGACAGTGAATACGGTTTTTTATTTCTGAATGGTACAGTTGAAAAATATCGAAAATTTTTGGAAAAAATGTTCCCACACACACAAACATGAGAAATAAAAAAAAACACCACCAGTTTTTAGATACGGTCTTTACGCATCGAATGATATGTGTCTCGATGTTGTAGCTTGAAAATCCTAGGAGGATTTACGATTCCTAATGTACCCCCTTTTTGGCCGTTTTCTAAGAATTTCACGTTTTCTTTCATTTTTTCTAAAAATTAACATGAACAAAAAAAGTCCGTTTTACATACGTGTACCAAATTTTGAATCGATCCGTCTGTTGATATCCGAGATCATTTTTGGGGCAGACGCTCCCCTTAATGCATCCAATCGTTTTTAGAGAGGATTGTTTGATTCTGTATAATAATTGCATTGGAACAGCTATGTTAATCCTGTACGCCTCTCTTCCCTCTTTTTAGCTTCTATACCTAGTCATACACTTCAGTGCACAATCAAATAACAATGAAAGTTATTTCTGACTCTTCTATATTTAACTTTCTCGTTACCTTTCAATATTCGTTATTTGACTACTTACTATTGTTTGTTTCGGATATCCAATCAGAAGAAAACAAGAAGCTGGTTGGGGGTTCTTCAGGAGGGCCGTACATGCAGAACCTTGGTCCGGACGCCGAAGAGAGCTGGGCTGTGTCCGGCGTGGTGTCCGCCTCCGTGGACAGAGAAGGCTGTGATCAGCCAGTGACCATTTACACCGCTGTCCATCCTTTCAAAGAGTGGATAGAAAACGTGGTTGAGAGTGGTCAATAATGGTCGAAGAGCAAAGTCTGACTCGTTGCCTGTTTCGCACATGGCGGACCGTGATTACATACCGGAATGAGCAGGGCACGTTGCCTTGAAGCCTCAATGACAATTTTTCCTAATTAGTTCATAAGTTTTTAATAAGTGTTGTTCATTCGGTCAGAGAAATACAATACCTACAGTACGTTTGCTGATAGGAAACGGTTACTACGTTGATGAACAATATGCGCGAGCAATCCACATTAACTGAATGATCTACTTCCGTTACCCACTTGAAGAATTATATTTTAGGATCAGGCTACTATATTGTCTTTTGATATTAGAAAAACTTATGTTATTCTTCTACTACCGAGCGACGCACCGTCCTCGAGAAAGCCATCAGAAGAAAGAAGTGCGAAGATCTGGCAACCAAGCGCCGAACTTCTTAGGACTCCAGAGGATAGAATTAAGTTACTCATTAGGCTTTGAGTTTCTAGTTCTTAGAGTTTTACTTTGTGCCCGTTGGCACCTGTTAGCCGATAACTATTTTGATTCACCTAGTTTACTAGTACTTTAGTAACGTCGAGCTAAGCTCCTACACTGCTATTAGTAATCACTATTATTGTTTAGTCCTCTTTCATTATTTTACTTGTGTAAAGAACTATTGCTCTATAACACGTTTGCTCTAACATAATCGTACCTGCTCCTAGATTTTTATCGAGTACCATTCATATTTTTGAAAAGAGGCCGTGTCAGGTAGTATTGTAACATTAAGCTATACGTCACCACCTTTACCTTCTGTAGCATTACTCACGTCAGCCTTCCGTGACGTCATTGTAGTAAATCTATACAAGCTCCTCAAGCATCCCATGAGTCAGTCGCATACGCATCCACTTACGTTCTGACGGCTCCGACACTCGCTTGCCTCAATCCCGAACTTGTCTATTTAGCTACCTGGTTTAATAGTGTACTAACACCTCATCGTGACTTATCTTGAATTATTACTGGTTTAGAGCTGCAACTCTTTGATTTGTTTCATTCCTCCTTATTATATATATTATTGGGATAATTATTTGAACCGAAATAAACTCAGCCCTTTGAGTTAATTAAAACTGGTCCCTAGTGTCACTGAAAAGACTCCCGGACAATACTATAAAATATAGTAAGCAATATTATCTTAATATTAGCACGTACCTAGTCTCATATAAAATCAAGTGTTACCAGTTTGTTTGATTCATTTATAGGAGTGTCGTTGATTATGTAACCTGGTCTCCAAACATTGATTCACTAAACAGTGAGAGCAGTTCCAGTTTCACTCTCCGATATTTAACACGGTCATTAGACGCTAGCCCCGCATGGTCACACGATTCACACGGTCTGACCCACTGGGCAATTGGTATTAACTGAGCGTTCTGCAAGAGTTAACCCTAAACTGTATGTTAATCCACAATTTCAGTCTGGTGATAATTTCATTTGCGAACGTTAGTTTCTCAATGTAGAATAGAAGAAATAACATATGTAACCTAAAAAACATTATCTTTTTCAATGATATTCACATACACTTTATGAGATTATAACTTCATGTTTAATATTTTTTTGTGTTAAGAATACCGTAAAATGGAGTAACTTTGACCACTTTTTTTTCAAAATGATGCCATTTCTTTACTAGATAAGTTAAACTTAAATTGAAACATGCAAAATACAGGTCTATACTCTAGCTTTACTCACCATAAATTGCTGGCTCCTGCCTCTCATAGCTTAGATGTAATTTCAAAAAAAGTGATGGTCTTTGTTACCCCAGCTCTTGGGTTTTTTTAACTTACGATCTCAGACATGAGAGGGTCGGAAGGAACTTACGATCTCAGACATGAGAGGGTCGGAAGGAACTTACGATCTCAGGCATGAGAGGGTAGGAAGGAACTTACGATCTCAGACATGAGAGGGTAGGAAGGAACTTACGATCTCAGACATGAGAGGGTAGGAAGGCTCAAAAGTCCATAATAGAAAATCACAAAGCAAATTAGTCTTTATTCGTTAAAAACCTTCAGTCAAGCGTGTGAAATGCAGGCACAAAAGTCCGTAGATATTACACTGTTATATCCTGTATATATATCAGGATATCACAGGATATTAGCCCAGACTTGTAAGATCAATTGCGAGCTGAAGCTACCAAAGAACGAGGCTCATCAACCACAGCAGTCTTAACTCCTGTTCTACGTCAGGCAGCTAAACAACTCATAGACAAATTGTGATACGGAAAGCTGATAAAAGCAATACTTTCGCTATCATGGATAAAACGGATTATCTCTCAAAAATTAATGCAGTTTTATCAGACGATTCCAAATTCAGTCATGCCGCAAGAGATCAAACAGAACAACTTCAGAGTAGAGCAAATAAATTATTTAGAACAGAGAATATTATCAAGAAATGAGGCCCTCATTATCAAGAGCTAAGGCCCTCATTATCAAGAGCTGAGGCTCTCATTATCAAGAGCTGAGGCCCTCATTATCATGAGCTGAGGCCCTCACTATCAAGAGCTGAGGCCCTCATTATTGAGAGCTGAGGCCCTCACTATCAAGAGCTGAGGCCTTCATTATTGAGAGCTGAGGCCCTCATTATCATGAGCTGAAGCCTTCATTATCAAGAGCTGAGGCCCTTCATTATCAAGAGCTGAAGCCCTCATTATCAAGAGCTGAGGCTCTCATTTGAGGGCTTCATTATCAAAAGCTGAGGGCATCATTATCAAGAGCTGAGGCCCTCACTATCAAGAGCTGAGGCCCTCACCATCAAGAGCTGAGGCCCTCATTATCAAGAGCTGAGGCCCTCATTATCAAGAGCTGAGGCCATCATTATCAATAGCTGAGGCCCTCATTATCAAGAGCGAGTCTCCAGCTATCAACCTCCAAACTACAGGATTCGTCCAGACGCTGAAATTTTCAGAGTAATTTTAAGCTAATATTTTAAATTGTATCCACTATACCATTGATATGTACTACTATCATTTCCAAAACTCAATTTCAAGTGTTGCAAAACCTTCACCAGCTTGATAATGAAAATTGTATGTTCGAAACGTCGCAATCCATTAAAATTTCATCTGGTAACCTGCTTATTATCTCCCGGCGGCATAAGAAAGTTTGTCCAACTCATTGAAAAGCCGAATAAGAAGATTGCTTTATATATAAAGTGGTACCTCGGTACCCGAACATAATCCCTTCTGAGGTGGTGGTCGAGCACTGATTTGTTGGAACACAGAAACCAATTTTCCCATAAGAAATAACGGAAAGTATTTTAATCCGTTCTCACCATTAAAGAAAATTCCTAAAATATTATATGAACGTGCATTTTAACAACAATGAAGACTTAAATGTGCACAAGTAGTACATGATAAAGATAAATAATTTATTATAAACCATATTGCATAATTTACCTAAATTTTAGAGAGTTCTTAATGAGATACAGGAATGGATGTGGAGAGGACGGGGGAGGGTTCCTGCTTGGAAGGGGAGTCCCCTTCCACGATGACGCTGCGTAACGCGCCTTCAGGGGTTTCTCTCTCTCTTCCGTGGAGGTGAATCTGGCTGGGCAGTAGCCTTCCTCTTTCCTTTAAGAAGGAACCTGTTCATTGTCAGTTGATTCTGCCTTTTCTGCGCTATTTTTCTGAGGTTCTCCATAACAATATCATTGAAATTGATCACAGCACGGTTACTGACTGCTGTATCAGGATGATATTTTTCAACAAACGTCTTCAGCTCAACCCACTTAGCACGCATGTCATGGACCACTGCGCTGGAAACCTCGTCTCTTACATCCTCATCTTCTGAAGTTTGCTGCTCCTGAAGCAAATCTTGCTGCTGCTGTTCTTGCAGGTACAATAACTCTTCTGTGGTCAACTCACAAGAGTGGCCTTCCACAAGCTCATCGATGTCCGCCCTGTTGATCTCAATGCCCATACTTCTTCCCACGGAAAGAATATCCTCCATGACAGCATTTTCTGCAGTAGTACATGTACCAGCAGGAATATAAAGTTGCTTCGTCATATGCATATAATTAAATATAAAAAGTTGTTTGCTCAACAAAGTGTGTTTTGTAATTGAGGTAGCAATTCAGAAAATAATTTTTTTGAACAACAACATAACAAAACACTGAGCAAGTGAGCATGGTACCCACTATAACCAAAATTCTGAGAATATTTGCAAGACAGGAAAGAAAATGATGGCAGCAGGGAACTCAGGGACATTTGCATGTGCCGGAATGCACAGCGGGGCTTCGTACAATTGCCCAGCAGCCAGAAGCGGCACGTGGTTTTACTGCCGAGCGCTGCAGGCTCGTGCCTGTAGCGACAAGCAGAGCCTCTGTTGCACGCTGTCTTCTAATAGAAGAAGCAGTCAGTCAGACTTGCCGGTGCTACGGGGACCATCATCTTCATATCGGCTGCAAAATACTAATTTTCTTATACATCTATGAGCATAAACTGGATAAAGTTTATCACCTTAGCTATAAGGAAATGTATTAACGCCCGTAACGTCGCTCATGGAACACGCATCATCAAATGAAAGGCAATTTATCAAGACGTAGTACATCCAAAGATAAGGTAAATATCTGACGAAAATAATGTCGTGACGAGAACAGGAAAACAGCGATAAAGTATGCAATAAATCTTTTTAGGACTTACTTAAAAGAAAATAAACTAAACCGCTGCCATTGCCCACGGAAGGGGCAATCGAGCTGCGCCACCCCTTCTTCCACACGACCTGTCCCGTCAGGACACTCATCCTGGAGTGAATATGAATTAGGTTAAGACCAAGAAAAACAGGATAAATTATTAGTAATCAATAATCAGTTAAATCAATTATCAGTAATCAATCAGCATTTAAATTAAATATCAGTTTAATCAATTATCAGTTAAATAAATTATTACGAATTATTTTCAGATCTCTGTAAATTACAGATCTCTGTCTACGCCCGTCTCTGCAGGACCGCCAGCGAGGCTGCAATGGCCAGACAGATCTCTGTCTTACGCCCGTCATTACTTCTCATTACCGCGGCGCTGCCTCCATTACCTTACCCCTCCTCGCTGTACCGGCCAGCACTCCTGCGTTTATGGCAGTGCTAATTTATGTATAATTTTACCCTATATCACTCGTGCCGAGAGTGAGAGCGCAGTCATTATTATTGCAGATAAGGAAAGAGAGTCTAAATATTATTATTTCTGTGGAATGATTCACTTTAAAAGAAATAGTTATTGGAATTCTTCTCTTATTTAATAACAACAAAATCAAGCGAGTTTACAAATGCAATATACATATGTACCTTTAAACAAAAAAATACGGTGTAATCGTCATTTCCAGTCGTTAACATATAACACACTACCGTTCCAGCGCTTAGTGCCTGTGGAGCGAGATGGCATCTTAATAAGTGTTGTTCATGCGGCCTCGCACTTGGTGAGTGGTTTTCTCCAGACTCTTGATATCTTTGGCTCGCCTCATCTTAAGCAGTTAAGCGAGATCTTAGGAGGAAAAAGTGGGGTACATTGGGACAGGTCAATTGTTTAGTATATTCAAAAACAATATTGAAATAAAAGTTTCAGCTAAATAGCACACAAGTTATTGCATTGATTGACGTGGCAGAGAGACGTGTTGCCCTGTCCTGAATTCCTCAGAGAGCAACATTTTCTTTCATGATCATTCAACTAAATACGTTTCCTTATGCATCAAAATTGATATGAGTGACTGGTTCGCGAACTGAAGCAAGATGTTCTGTGGATTATTGTTGCATAATCCGTTCAAAATTAATTACATCAGATAGACATAAAGTTATTTCAGTAAAATTAAAATGGTGCCGAATGACTTTAAAATGGTGTTCAGGGGTACAAAGGGAAAGGTCGTTTGGGGCACACTGACAGTGTCCGCATGATCCCCACGAGTCAAACTGATCCCAATATATTCAAGAAATATTTCTGACAATTTTATAGGTGGAAAGTAACGTAATGACTTCAGGTTCACTTTGCCAAAAA